CATGGGGCTGGAAATTTGGCAGAGAGGAGTGCTAGCAGCTGGCAGTGTCTTCATGGCTCTGGGAGCCACAGCAATTTGCACTGCCACCACTCTCTTGCTGCCAAATTTCCAGACCAATAGGGTGCATTTCAGCCAGATAAAATGGCCTCATGGGCTGGCACCCAGAATGAGTCTGTGGCTGTGGCCAGCAGATAAGGTCAGACTTCACATGCTGGGTTGGACCTGGCATGTGGCTCTGTACCCAGCGCATGGGGTCATACTGGTACATGGGGTCGGACTCAGCACCATGGGTTGGACCCAGCACATGGCCCCAGAGTCACTGCTGGATTAGACTGTGCATATGGTCAGACTTTGCATGCTAGGTTCAACCCAGCACATGGCTCCAGAGCTGGTATGAGGTTGGACTCTGTGCATGGGTCCTATCTGGAGTATGGGGCTAGCAACAGACTAAGCTCTGTAGCTGCTGCTACTTGGTTTATTCAAGGAGTACTTTTTTCTTCATCCTGGGTGCTTCTACACATGCCTTTACTTCAGCCTAGATTTACTGTGCAGTAAAATACTGCACAGTAAGGGTTTTGGGGTAGGTGTCTACACATGTGTGAATTAGGGAGCAGCTTTGCTCCATTCCTTGCAGCCTTGCAATGTGCCCCTGTGGTCACTGGGATGAGCTCCAGACCTCCCTCCCCCCCATGCTACACCAGAGGCTGGCAGGAAGCATGGGGCCAGGAAGTGGGGGCAGGGAGGGGGTAGAGAAATGCTGCCTGCTGCTGGAGGAGGGACAATGTCTCCCTGGGGCCAAGCCTTAGAAAGAGCTGCAGGGGAGGTGTCGGTCCCAGCCCCCTGCCCTGATCTGCCGGTAGGGCAGCCAGCAGCAGGGGCAGGGGCAGGTCCCAGCCAGCTGCAGGCTGTGCGGGGAACTGTCCTTATGCAGGGAGCTCCCATCCCCCACTCTGTGATCTTGCAACTGTGATCATGGAATGGAGGCTGAAGAGCTTGTTCCTCACCCAGTTCCATGAGCATGGAATGGAGGGGAGGTGTAGCAGGGCACGAAGATGCCTGCTACTTGTAGAACCGGAATAACTACTCAGGTGCCAGTTGCCAGGGCAACCGGGGGAGCCAGTGACCCACACCTGCTAGCAGTCAGTTGACCAGAAGGGGCAGGGCCTGGCTCCCATTTAAACCCCAGGACTGAGCCCAGGCAGGCAGTTCCCTGTTGGCAGCCAAAGGGGGAAGGAGCTCTGCTGGAGTAAGTAAAAGGAAGAGGCCTGAACTACATGAGCAGCTCCAGAGACTGGTGAGGGATGGAGCAACCCTGGGGGCTTGAATGAGATTTTAGCCAGACAGTTTGAAGTTATGTTAGAGCCCAGGGGCTTGTGTTTTGTTTACTGTTTTACCGGAGGTTTTGGTGAGGCTATTAGGGGTTGGAGGAGGCCTCATAGGGGACCCTTGGCAGCATAGGAACCCCAGCCCCAGAGAGGGGGCAGTGAAAGGCCCCGGAGAGGGGGCAGTGAGAAGCCCCAAAGAGGGGGTGCAAACCCCAGCGCCAGCGAGGCGTGATCTTAAAAGCCAGGGAGCTCTGGTGCACCTGTGGTACAGCTTTATTTTGGTATTGGTTTTTTTTGTTTTTTTTGTGGCCTGGGAGGCTGCAGGCTCGGGGTCATCCCTCTGGCTGTGGGGGTTGGCATCTGGGCCTCAAGACAATGGAAAAGGCTAGAGCCTCAGAGTCAAACCCTGTTTAGTGGGTTTAGACGGGGAGGCCTAGCTAGAGGAAATCAGGGGTCAGTCCCACATAGAGGAAAGGCCCCAACATACCCAATACAATAGGCAGTCTCCCGCTTGCAAAAACATCATCCTGATTTCCATCAAGACGTGGCAGGAGAGTATAGGGCGGGACATAAGAACCCCAAAGAAGGATCCAAGGGCACCGCACGCAAGGCATGGAGTACTAGGAAGATGGCACTGGGAAGGGCGACCTGTTACAGGGGGGCAGAGAACAGAATGGGGAGCTGTTTCCCCCCAGTTCTGTGCCAAGGGTCTCCCAGCCCAAGCACCGTCATCATGGGGCTCAGGCTGTAAAATAAGCATCTCTCAGCAACGGCCCTGTGGTCACAGAGCCACTGATGGGAGATAAGGGTCTCCCAGCCCCCTGCTCCCCAATCACAATGGTGGAGTGGGGGTGGGAGATAAAGATCTCTCAGCCCCTGCTCCATGATCGCAATCTGGGAGCAAGGGGCTTGGAGCTCCCTGCTGCCAGGGCAGGGGGACATAGTTCCTGCCCAGGATGCTGTGGCAGAGCCTACCACGGGAGCAGGCAGCTCGGGTGGTGGGGG